GAATGTACGAGTTCTATCCATTCGTTTGAAAAATTCAAAGTTTTCTCTTCAAATACTCTAATTTCATTTCTAATTTTCTTGGATTTATCCGTAGAAGTGCATTATCCTTTCTCTAATTTCCATCCTATATCTATCAATATTTCATACTTCAGCTAACTTTCTTTTTTTCATCATAATTATGGCTTTCCATATAACTAGTTCATAGTTTTCAGTTCTTCGTTAGACTCGTTTGAATCTTACTTTAAACAAACCAATGAAATGACTCCAAACATGCAATTTGAAAATCTGATAAAAATAGGCATGCTCTTAACATGCAATTTCAACATGATAAAGCTATAGTTTAAACATTTTTTATTTATTTTTTATAAAAATAAGGATTCTTATCAAGTGATAATTTTTAACTATACATATGTTAAAAAAATTTAAGACATATTTTATTTTGAAAATAAAATTTTTAATTTTGAAATTCTCATTTATTGTTAAGATTTTAAATCATTTACTTTACAAAAATTAGTTTCAATAAAAAAAAATTCATCAATTTCTGTTAGTATCAAAGAATAAATAAATTTAAATACATTCTGTATTCTCTTATATATGAAGTGATTGCTTTTTTTATTTTAGATACACATCCATTGAATATATTAAAAAATAGACAAATCTCTGGTCTCAGCGTGGTCGTTTTAACAATTTGTGTGGTCGTTTTAACATTCATTCTTGTGTATATATATATTAATTATTGAATCACAATATTCACAATCATTCGACATTGAATGCCAACTAGATTCATAGTTATGATTTGCCATTATGATTATCCAATTATAATGCCCAACTACTTTATTAAAATTTTCTAATTCGCTTTTGTATCAAACGAATTAACAAACATTCTACTCTGAAATTACTATAAGACAAACATAGAATTCCAAATCTCCATTCCAGTATGAAACTATGTGAATGCTAATGCCCTGATCTATTCATAATAAAATCATCTTTCACGCAATCTTATCATTTTCTAACTTCAACGCAAACTTTTTGTTTCTAAAGCACACTTCTATAGCTGGACCAATAACAGCAGAGAATCTAAATGTGTGACTTCCTGCAGATCCAGTCAGGAATTATGATTTATTCCAGTTCTTTAAGTATCTTCATTTCAATGTTTCTTCAGATTTTACTTATGTTTGCTGTTCATGACTTCACAATTATAGACTTCACATCCAAGGAAGAAACGAATTTTTATCTTGTGGAATGAATGGATAATTGCCAAGCTTTGGCAATTATCAATGTTCTGCATCTCGGGCCCTCAGAAGAGTGCTTTGGGTTTCTGACGTAGCTACATTACATCTGGGCACATTTTTTCATACTTAAAAAATAATCCCAAATTTTGGGCGAAACACTGTATGAAACACAGTGAAAATTTAAAAAAGTTAAAAAATTAAAAACCATCCGGATGAATTTTGGTTGCCTTCATTACTACATTTGTTTGCGATTTCTTGAGATATACAGAAAAAAGTTCACAACCCAACAAACAGAAAGTTCCCAACAAAACAAAACTACCGTCTCCACGTATCAGTTAATCAGACTTATGTGTTATTATTTTATTGAGAGTATTTGTTTTTCAAGAAAAAAAATTTCACAAACATATCCACATTTCGAAGTACTGAACTCATGTCATAATTGCAATTCTCATTTGCTAGGTGTCTAAGTCCGAGTAATAATTCAACTTTCAACCTAACTAATATATTTCAGCATTTTGACTTTTATGCTCATGCACATGCTAAGACTTCCAAGATATGATAAAATTGATGATATAAAGAAGTAACACAGACCAAAATATTTTTAAGTCGTTATCCTCATGAACATTTGTGAAAATGTCAAATGAATACTCACAAAATTGGATAGTTTATTGGACAGAATTAGAATATAATCAAGTCATATTACAGAGTTTACAGATGCAGCGGTTGACTTTAATAATGTTGACAAAAATAATTTTCTTACCTTGTTTATTTATACTCGTTTGTACTACAAAATTAATTTTTTAACATCATCAGAGCCAAAATAGTAACAAAAAAATTTTAATCTTTGCATACAAAATTATGATGCATACAAAATCAATTGCTTCATAGTGATAAAAGATTATGTAATGTTTTACTAAACATATAATATTATGAGATTTTTTAGTACATCAATGAATGTACCGAAGTTTGCATCTTGAGTCAAAAAGTAATGATATAATGAAGATATAATTAAAAAATAAATCTTGCTGAGACTAAGTACATATACAAAAAAATGTTGAACATGCATAGCTAATTGATTAGTTGAACCTTAAGTATGGTCTGCCTTAGCTGCATACAAAAAGAAAAAAAATAAGTCCGAAAATAAATATTGGGAAAAAATTAAGCTTAAAATGTCAAAATATTACAAATATAATAAGAAAACTTTCGGAAAATTTTACTACAAAAACCTGAAATCAAAGAAAATTCAACCACTTTCAATTACAGTTTTCATTACCTATGCTGATAGAAGCATATAAAAACATCTTTCTATTTCTCAAAATATATACAAAATTGAAGACCAAAATTAGATTTCATTCCAAAGCTTGCGTAAATACAATAGCTAGGAAATAAAGTGTGAGTTGGTATGCAACTTGCATGTATGTGGAATCTCATAGATTAGTAAAATTTGAAAATCCAATGATATCAACAACAAAATCACAAATATGTAGTAATAGTAAAATAACGCCATATCTATGAATTATAACTCAATGAAACGTGAAAATAATAATAATAAAAAAAATTATTTTAGTTGAGTAGCGCACTGCTACAAGAGCACGCACTACTCAAAGCAACGAAATGAGAGAATTTGGAAAGTGATAAGGAGAAGTAATATATTTGATGGGTGGAAAGTCACACATGCTCAGCTTATGGGTTTATACATGTCTTGTTTTTCATTAACTCCTTAAATATAGATTTTCAATTTAATTTTTAATCAACTCCTGTGGTAACAAGGACTCATGCGATTAACGTCTATTAGCTATCTAAATGCAAACAGTACATTTGTGTCCTAGTCACTGTACTATTTTGTCATTTTGACGTGGTAATCATTATAAACAAGTACTCTAGGTAGCAAATCTGGTGTAGTTTTCAGTCATGAGCAAGCAAACTTAGGTAAATCCATAAGGATTATTCAAGGACGTAAGCACCGTTTGGATACCGTTTGGTCTGGGCACATCTGTTCGTGTTTGGAGAAACAATAATTATAAATGATGGGCGAAGCATCGCATGAAACACAGTGATGAAATTTCAACCACCCGGATAAATTATGGGTGCCTTCATTACTGGATTTGTTAGTGCTGTTTTTGAGATATACAGAACAAAGTTCACAACCTTTTGGCTCATTCATTTATTATGAATTTTGAAATATATGTTTTGGGAATCTTATGGATGTTGATTGTGATGGAATACCAAAGTACCAAATTACAGTTTTTCATCAAATTTTTAGATTATGCTTCATCTATCTCTATCGGAAAGGAACGAGTGTACTCAATGTATGTCAACTGAACCAGAGAGCTCAATAATTGACGAAATCCTTTGATGTATCTAGTTTTCCTTCTACAAGCACTCAGACCAGAATGTAGGAGCTCCTTGAAGTAGCAAAGACTGTATGTATCATTTAATGTACCTGTGAACGGGTTCTTTACCGTTATTGCAATACGTACCAGCAAAGTACCAAGGAGATATAAAAATGTATATAAGAAGAATAAGGGATAAGCTGGGAATTATTTTATTTCATCTAGCTTTCTTTTTCAAATATCTACAACTCTCTTCAGGTGGACCAAATGCATATGTAGGATATATATAATAAATTTTTCTAGAGGTTTGAAGTTTAAATTAAGTAAATCATAAATTTGATATTTGAAACTTGATATTTGACATTTTATTGGAAATATCATCCGTACACAGAGAATGCTAGCAGAATTTGATATCTCATTTTCCAAGTGCTTTTTGTATATTAAGAGTTTTTGGAAAAACGATGTGGAAGAAAAAAATTTGTAATATATTACCGACAAACTAAATTCTACCCAATATTCTTGTAAAAATTATATGCAAACATAATGCTCTATACTCATAGCATAAATCCAAGAGCGTGAGCAGTAAACATGTTATAGAAAGCTTAAGTTCAAAAGTGAACTTTTATATGAGACTAATACTTTATAAAACTTTGTCACGTATGATTGATAAAATCAAGGCTAATGATTTAATATAAAAATGTGAAAAAAAAGTAAATAATCATCAAAAAAATTGAAATTTTTGAGGCATCTTATCTATGACTCTCTGGGTGATTTTTTTATTTTGAATGACATTCTGATGCAATGCAAACATGCCATATTTATATTTCAAGCTATAAAGTTTAGTGGGTGGGAAATTCTGCAAGTATTTTCATTTTTTAAAATGCATTATATTCCACCATTTGTCACCATATATTAATGTTAATATGAATTTCCATACAAATATATATATATATATATATGAGGGAAATATCATCGATACTTACCCAAATTTCAAGTATGTATTATGCTTAATTTCATTCAATTCATTTGGTCGAGTTTAACAATTTATTACCTTAATCATTTATTTCAAAAATAAGAATTTGTCTCTTAGAATGTCTCATTATTCAAGAGAAGCATACTTATCATAATATTCAGAATATTAGTTTTTTGGTGGTATCAAAAATTTCATTTTTAAGCGAGACGAATAAGTAAATCATAAATTGGTACGTCATGATAGATCTAATTCTCTCAGATCTTGACTGAAAAGTCACAAAAACTTAAGTAAATTCAAAAACTATACTAATTTTATCAAAAATTAAAAATCATCAAAACTCAATCATTTTGAAAATTACTAATATACTGAAAATCTCCAAATTAAGTTAGAGAATAAATGAATTCAGATATGTAAATGAATATATGTCATTCGTTATCGAAGAAGATACGTGATGACAGACCCTTCGCTATGACGGAACTGATCCTACCGCTTTTGAAAGTACGCATGTTTGACGGTACTCTGCCCCCCTCAGCGAGTGCAAACAACTCCATGGCCAGAACAAGATTATGTCAAGTCCATGGAACTTTTGTGTTGATCTAATCCTCCGCTGTGGCAGCCGCTAAGACTGACCTGAATCGTAATATCGACCTTAAACGACAAAACGTTTGAGAATTTAGTGCTGATATAAAATCGCTGGTTGAGTGCAGGCTATAGTCTTGGAGCAATCCAGCCAAAATGATATTTCTGCAAATCTGGACGAACATCCACATGTAAAACAGGTCATGAAAACGTGTATCCTGTTCGGGGAGTTTGGCAAGAATGATCGCGCCAGGTATGGAATTTGGTAATAGAAACTTTCACTTGGAAGATAGAAGAAAAATCATATTGTACTTCTAGATATTTTAATCAGAAGAAAACGTTGTACATGAAAGTGAGTTTCATCCACAAAGTTTTGTGTTGATTGCAATATCTAGAATCACAAAAAAAAAATTCTTCTATCTTACATGTAGAAAACTTCTACTACAAAATTCCATAGCAAGGATAACGTATACAGAGTTTAGAAACTCAAATGTGCATTACTCACGAATCCTCTTGATTGATTTGAGCTAACACGGGTGCATCTTGAAAATTGAGAAACCTTCTCAAAGATTCTGTGTCCACCTTCTACCCTAATCCCCTTGCTGGTAACGAGTTGCTCCTTGCCATTAAAGCGGAAGTTTGTGTCGCTCTGTGCATCCAGAATGTTGCTTCTCCCCAACTCGATGAAGAGTATTCTTTCCACATTCACCAAACTTTGGAGGTTCAAAGTCCTGTGACTGTATGGCTCCGAGTACACACTTGCTTCCTCATCTTCGATCGACTTACACACGAAGATAAGCAGCAGCCAAAACGCAGAGTTGCAACTCATACTCATCACTTGTGGGATCTTGTGCTCTTCTCTCTCGTTTGTGTCAGGAATTCCTGACCTACCTTCCAAGCGCACCAAGCATATATACGGAGAAGACGAGGTGGGTTGCTGTAAGTCCGATACAACAGAATCAAAGAATCTCGAAAAGATGCGCTCGTTGACCAGGCGGTTGATTGCAACGGTGAACTCTCTAATTGTACCGGTGATTTTAAAACTTTTGAATCTCGAACAACCCTTGTTCTTGTCAGGAATATCAAGCTCGTTGATGAAAAGAAAATGAATCAGAATTGTTTCAACTTGAAGATGAACTACTCATTGCTGCCAGCTCAGCTGACAAAGTTCAGTAGCATAGTTTTCAAAAGATTGAAATTCTTCAAGGATGATGAGACCTCGAGGAATAGATATGCGTTGTCAGTCTTCAGTAGATCGGATCTCTGTGACATATCCGTTGTGCAATGTCTTTTTGGCTGCATTTCAAGTGCCATGGACGATATCAAACTGTACCTGTCAAGATGCGAATCCAGAACAACTCCAAGCCGTGGAGATGGTCTCCGATCGATGAGTCGAATTTGAGCACTGACGTTGATATATACCGTCACGCTGCTAGTTGCAAGACACCGGTCCTTGCAATGGTCAAGGTTCGCTGCCGAGTGCCCAGTGCTACTTGTATAAATCCTCGCTGTGCAGACCTTTGAGCTGCATTTGCTGGAAGGTAATGACTTCCAAGTTCTCTTGTGGTTCGGAGCTTTCCACTCTGCACAAATCAGCTGATCGGACCTCACGGCTATTATCGCTCCATTCTATAGCCGACATAGGCCACCAAGTTTTGTGTAGGTCTGAGGTGATTCTCAGATCTAAGCGACAGTCTGTAGTTGGTCATTACGATGGATTCCGCAACAGGGAATGATACTGAGTCTTGCATTTGTCAATTATTGGGCAAGAATATCGTCGGCTACATCACGATTGCTATGTCTGCTTTGGGAGTCATTGTACCAGGATACTATTGTATCTCAAGGTTGTATCAAATCACAGTTATTGAAAGTCGAATTAGAGAATGTTATGCGAGGCACATTCTACACTCACAAGCAGTAGGAAATTTCAGGGTCAACTTCAATGGAGAAGAAAGATATACGCCTCGAGATGTTCTGGTGCAGAACCCATCGGGCAGGTACATGATAGCAGTCAAAAGATAAATTTCTACAACTGATGAAGCTTCAACCTCGGAAGGTCCAGAGAGAGATGCCATTGAAAGTTTGGAATCTGAAAAGACGGAAGAGCTTGCATTTTTTCATTAAAGCTAAAATTCGTCATGACATTGGAGGAGTGAAGTATGATCCTTGATTATCCACAGATATGTAGCGGCTGGAGTCCAATCTACTGGAACATCACAAAGTATCTGTAGTTTCATGACATAGTGCAACATGCTTCATCATATTAAATGTTTGAAGTCTTCCAATGTTCTCAACTTCCAGGTTGAAATTTGTTCAAGCATGTCATCCTGGAATATGGACTGGAATTGGATCGATGAGTAGTCCCGGCCTCATTCTCAAACCACTCCCGGAGTTGGGTAACCCCGTTAGCGCGAGCCACTCATGGCAATAAATTCACACTACTCATGATAAACACGCTGAGCAGGAAATCACCAGCTCCATTGTGGCTCTTTAAGTACTAAAAGTTGTGTTGATTCTTTTGCAATGCTTAGATGTTTTTACTTCTTCGCTTTATCTTCTTTGCTTTATCTTCTGTTACATTTTGGAGCGCTATACATGGGAGAATATATCGATAGAGCAAAGGAGGTTTCTCTATGTGCATGGCTTTAATATTATTAAACAGGCTCTCTAGACATATTTCCCCACGTATGAGGAGAGGGAACACTAAATGTAGCTGATGAATTGAAATATAAGGTATATCGTTATGCCTGAAAAGTTTCAAGATACTCGAATGTAAGATATGCTTGCATATTCAGATTCTTGAAGTTTACTTCAAAAGCTGGGAGACCTCATAGTTCGCATCAACTCTATGGACATCTTAGACGGCGTTGGGAAAATCTTGCAGCGAGGTTTCGAAAATGCCACGGTTGACTTCGAGACACACACTTCAATATTTTCTTTATCCAAATCTGAATTTCAGGTTGAAATTATGTGGAAGGAAATGCCTCGACCAAATGATGATAGATATCCATTCCAGGAATCATTCCACTAGCTTCAACACAATGTGTCCTGGTCTCCTGTATAGAACACAATTTTGTAGTTTGACCAGTAACAGCCATCAATAAACTTGTAGTGTTGAAAGCCAAGCTTCTTGCAGGAAACTCCATCCATGAAGTCTTCCATGAAGTGTTACTCCAAGTATATCACTCCAAGTATATCTTTCCAATGTGAAACATAAGATAAAATTAAGAAGTTAAAATGTCTTCATCTTACAGCACTGCAAACGCAAAATTTTTGACATACAACTTACAATGATTGTCACTCAGATGATAAAAAGTACAGAACTACATTTGAGAGCACTGCAAATCGTGTTCACATAAAACTTACATAATATTACATGATTTTGACCTCGGATGCTCATGGCTGGCTCACGCTAACGGGGCTACCCAAACCCACTAGGGCTGATTTATCTCCACCCTCGTGATGGTGATAATTGTGTTTCTAGCCCTTAATTTCAACTAAACTTGTTGCCAGCTTGCAAACCCGCCTGGTTGATTTAGGTTTAAATCGGCGCATACTGAAAAGAAATTCATTTTCGCGGTTTTATAATTTTTTTTACTTAAAACCGTTCATACCAGGAAATAAATACATGGTCGAAAGAGCAAAGATGAATAATTTTAAAATTATTTGTCATTATGATTATGACATCATTGTACAGCATAACAGCATTAAAAAAGTTTGCAAGTTTTTACTGCGCGACCACTGATGTATTATTCCTCTTAGGGAAGCACCGGTTTTAATGATTTTAGATGGAAATTACAGTCTCTGAAGGTAAAGATAGAAATAATACTTATGTTTGAAACTTTAGGGTTTGAATGTACGAATTATATCCATTCGTTTGAAAATTTCTGGGATTTTTATTCAAAATACTCTAATTTCATTTCTTTATTTCTAGGATATATCCGTAGAAGTGCATTATCCTTTCTCTATTTTCCTCCTTATATCTATCAAGTTTTCATACTTCAGCTGACTTTCCTTTGTTCATCGTAATTATGGCTTTCCGTATAACTAGTTCATAGTTTTACGTTCTTCGTTAGACTCGTTTGAATCTTATTTTAAACAAACCAATGAAATGACTTCAAACATGCAATTTGCAAATCTGATAAAATTAGGCATGCTTTAAACATGCCATTTCAACATGATAAACCTACATAGTAGCTTTAACATTATTTTTTATTTTTTTAATACAATTTTTTATTTTGGAAATTACTTTTTGAATTTTTAAATTTTAATTCATCGTTAAATTTACTTTAAAAAATTATATCTAATTATTAAAAAAAATTTCATCAAATTTTGTTAGTTTTAAAGAAAACATTTTTGTTAATATTTAAAAATTAAATCATAAAAATGTAATTGATTTTGTTAAAATTACGGATACAACATTTGATCAACGTGTAGCTAATTGAGAAGTTGAATCCCAAGTGCGATCTGTCTTAGCTGAATACAACATCTTAATCAAAAGAATTAATCTCAATTTAGATTGTTAAAAGAAAAAAGCTTACAAGATAATAAATTACAAAGATATATACAAATATCAACATATAATAATACATGAATTTAGTTTTTAGTCAAAAAAATGTTCAATTATTTGTTTAAACGACTGTTATTTTTCATTAATCAAGCTTGCACTATACAACCAAAAAAACATTCATTTATCAAGGGTATTCATCCTACATTCATTCTCATCGATAAGAATTGTAAATTTCAATCATAAATAATATTTAGCTTTTGTAAAACTAGTTTTCAAATTATCACAATATGTATGTAGACATATTGTAGATTAATAAAATATGAAAACCCAATGATATAAACAAAAAAATCACAAATATAAATAAATTATATAATATCATTACATAAAAAAAATTATATAATAGAATAATGCATTGCTACAAGAAAACATGGTAATCAACAAAATAAAATGAGATTATTTGAAAAGACTAATAGACAATCACTTATATTGTAGGATGAAAAGTCAATCATATTTGATAAATGTATTGAGTCATAAGTCTTGTTTTGCTTTATGTTTAACTTAATGTTTCATATTTTTTCATGATTTTCTCCTTTTTTTGAATTTTTTTTTCCCGAAAAAAATTTATTTGGAGTTACAAAAACTTCAACATTGTTACGGATGCAAAGTGGTTTATTGGTTTCGAAGAAAAAATTTAAGCTAAGTGGGTTTTTCTCAAAAAAATATAGATGAACAAGTAGAGAAGAGAATCCAAGCAAGATTGAAAAACAATTTATGTAAAAAATTATTTCAACATTGAAGAATTTAAATTTGCAAATTATCTTGGACTATTAATGTATTTTTATATTGAATGAAGGATTATGTGAGAGGATGTTTACACTTGGGCATGTGAGTGAAGCTCAACCTTCTAATATCATAATGATCCGTCAAAAAATCATCTGAGGTAAACTTGAATAAGAATTAATATGAAGATCACTAACCTTTGAAAACATCAACTCAGAGTAAAGTTTTTTCATGAAACACTAATAATCACCACATGAAGCAAAAACAAAGAATTGTTGTTGGTAGGAAAAAAGCTATCCAATGAGTGTGAAAGTATGATTTACAAACAATGCATTTTGATCTTTGACAATTTTTTGACCATATGTAGCATTGGAACCAAGATTTTTAGCATTCCTAACCTCAATATATACAAAGATTCATATTTTTGGACAAATTCCATCAATGTGTTATAGATATTCAATTTGTCATCTAGGATGTCCAATCACTAACCATCCAAAAATTCACGTCTCTTTGTAAAAGATCATGTTTGTTGTTTAGACAAATGAATGTGAAATGTGAAATGAATTCAGCTAAATTACACCTTCAAATGTTGAAGTAAGGTATGGATGAATGCGTAGACTAGCTTGTTTGCATGAAGAAGTGTATGTGTGAGCACCTGGTCAGATCTAAGAAGCGGCTGACAAATATAGACCATATCAATACCAATAACATAAGAAGTATCAGCGACAATGCATCCAAGTCCTTTCCATATTTTTTTTAATACCATAATTCCATTTTTTTTTTTAAGATGGAGTCTCTTAGATTTGGATCTGAAATAGCTTTTAGGTCAACGATTTTTCATAACTTTAATTGTAGCTCACAAAGCGGAGTTTAGATGGAGATGGTTTGACTTTCAATCTCAAGGAATTCAAACTTCTAGTTTGACTGTATGAGAGTAGGTTTAGAATATATTGCCTAGAGTCAATAAATTCTGAATCTTACAACTACATGAAAAAAATAAAAAGACAAAATTGAAAAACATTCAAAAATTGTAATACTTTTAACTATGTAAATAATGAAATGTGACATTACATTGAGAATTCCTGAATTTTTTGAAAATTTTTTAATACATATGGAATGGAATAAATATTTTTATGTGAAAAATTATTATGGAAATTAAAATGAGATTTTATTACTTTGTATAAATTTTAAATGATAATATTATTGATTTTTTTAAAAATCATATCTTTATTCATTTAAATATTAAAAATATTAATATTTTAATTACTTATTACTAATTTCTGAATTCTTTCAATCAAAATTTATACATAAGTTACAAGTTATAATATCATATCTTGATATGAAATAACATCATCTGAATGGATCTATGATAAGATCAAAAATTGAAAATTTTAATCAGTATAGATTTATTGAATTCTTCATGATTTGTCAAAAGAATTATGAAAATGTTCATTTTTTAAAATTTTTGTATCTTCTTAGTTTTTATGATTTTATGATACAATACAAGTATACTAATTTTCAATCTTCTATATTGTCTTATGTTTATTTGAAAGTTTACAACAAAATACTTTAACATTGAGTTTGTTTTCTTATTAAGATTTACAATTTATATTATTAAGTTATGTTAATCTTTAATTACTTCGTTTTTTTCAAAAAATTTATTGTATAGTTTTATGATAAAAAATTTTCTAAAAATGAACACAAGCAACTCTATTTCCATGACAACACAACAAATTCCTTATCATTTCACATTCAATCAAGAATTATAATCACATTGCAATAGCTATTCCAACTAAATACACTAAATTATATATACATTTAACACTTCTTAAGTTATTACCTTAAGATATCTGACCTGACTCATGTTTTGCGAAATATGAGCTCCAATTTCTATATGAATAATCTATAATTGTTTCGAAAAAGTTCATATTATTATTGAATTTACGATTCATCTATATTATATCAATATATATTATATTCATATATATTATATCAATATTTTAAGATATTTTTTTGACAAAAAATATCTGAAAAATAATGAAATAATCATGTGCTTTAATCATCATCTAATTTTCAGCTAGATTTAGATCATGTTTTCAATGTCATGCATAAATTCATATATGACTTCATAGGTAAATTTGGTTTCAACTTGTACATGTTTTACAATAAACTTTCATAAAAAAGATCTAGAGAGAATAAAATGAAAGCATCAGGAAAATGTGAAGAGATAAAGTTCTTGAGTAAAATATTGCATGGTGTATATAAAGACTTCATATGATTATGAGTAAAAAAAAAAAGGGCAAACCTTCTAAGTGTTATATCCTGAGCTATGCGAAAAAGTAAGCACCAATCATGTTTGAGTGTGAAGACATCATTACCTTCCATTTTACAGATTAGGAGGTTTCATCACTTTTCATAACTTTAACGTTTCATAACTTTAAGCATGTCATTGGAAGTAATAAGAACAAATCTAGATGAGAGTAGAAAAGGTAGAGAATGTGCATTCAGAGAAAAACTTCAAAATACAGGAAGATAAGATTAAGATAGTATTTTATTAGCATCTTGAAGCTAGCCAATGTACAATGAACATGTTGATGGATGAACCAAATCCATGTGAATATTCATTGTTGTCAAAAGAATCATCATCAAGTCAAAACTCAAGAGCACATTTTTGCAATATCATTTTTGCACTTGCAACAACAAAAGCATAAGTGATTTTTTGAAGTGCAAGACATGGGCGGATCTATAGGACTTGATAGAAAGAATGTTGAAACTATAGTTCCATCAAAGTAAGTACTGAACTCTGTTCAAATTGGTGAGTAAAGAATAAAGAGTCCATGCTGCGCTTTGTCTAAAATGGCAGACATATAACATGATATAGTCATATATACACATCATTAAGATATTTTCTAAAGATTGGTTGATAGATATATATTGTTCTGTAGAGTCACTTTTGGGATTTCAGGTTTTAAAGCTTGAGTAACCTGCATTCTATCAATTAGATCCCAATTTTATGAAGCAGCAAAGGTCGTTCTCCAAACGTTTCAGCATGCGCGGGGTTTACGGCACTTGTTCAACGAGTCAAGTTTCTCATCAAATTCTGTAGGATACTGTAGTCTGTGGAACTCTTGGGATGCAGTAGTAGGAAGAAAGTACTACGAAGTAATTTTGGGACATGATTAATCTTAACCATGTCCCACATTATAGTCGAGATAGACAACTGCTTCTGCTCATGATTACTTAGAAAATTAGTTCTGCAAATTCACAATTCAAAATAAGGTAAGTGATACATACCACTTATCTCAATGCGTGAGCCAAAAATGATTGCAATATGTAGCAAGCACTCATCGCTAACTTAAACCTTTAACTGAGGATGGGAATCAACATGTTGCTCGATCCCCTTCACTGGACAATTTGGAAGTACTCGTTTGGCATCATTTAATTCGAAAGCATGAATATCTTAAAGAATTATGAGTACATTACCCTGCCGTATTCTGTTAAAGCTCTTCGATGAAATGTGGTAAGTATATGAAAACCAAAACGCATAAATTCAATAACTTGTGGTTTTAGTGCCAGGAGAGTTGGTCTGAAATGAGCTACGTTTTGCAGCACGTTTACTTCAATTCTGAATGGCGTCTCGCATACGGGATGTGATCTGTAAAAATAGTAGCATATTTTAAGACAGCCGATAGTCTGTGAAACCATACACAATTTTCTGGATAAAGACTGAACAGACCCCACTGGACCAACGTACTCAAAGTCATTAGCAGAATAGAAGAGTTACAATCAGGTCCCAGACATTGTATGCCACTTTTAAGTCCCAAATTGTCTTATTGTGACTGTCACTATGAGAGCTTGGAACGTTTTCTTGGGTCTGGACTGAAAATAAGAGCAATAACGCAATTGGACTATAATTGATTAAAATGCACCACTTGAAGAACTGACTTGAAGATACCAGATATTAACCCGATGGCTACCACTCACAAATGAACTATACGGCGCTTGAGAGCTGATCACAGCACGATCCAAGCACTACCTCGAGTCTACATAAGACGATCCAGCTTGCAGAACAGCGTATCAGCGTTTAATTCTGATTCCTGTCCGTCACAGCAGACTTCCTATGTATACAGTTTAAAAACACCTAGTTTTCTCGCTATTGAGGTTGGTCGTAAATACGGCACATTTCAGAGAAGAGGGACCTTCCGCAGACACATGCACTCACCAGAGATCAGCAGATCACCAGAAAAATTGGCTCTGTCTTTACAATCTCTATCCCTATGTTCAGCTACCTCGGAAGCTAAAAGTGACAATGATGTTCCTTCTTCACAATGATTGGTTGTGCTGCGCGCTCCTCATGCCACTAAGAACAGAAAGGCTGAGAATAATACCAGACTTGACGACGTCAAGGCATACATCGTCGATGCAGTATTCGATACTGAGTTCTGCACAAAGTTCGAAAATATCATTCATGTGTGTACATGGAAAAGCTGAACATGAATTCATGCACATTGTGCGATACTCTTTCTAGATATGTGGCGAACGAGAAGGTAATGGAGCTTCAGATGCTAGTAGTGCTCACTGAACATCCACTGAAGTTGAAACCACGAAATCCTTGACGTCAATTAGATAGGCACGTATCAATCATCATGATGAAACCCCAATTGGAGTGATGAGAAATGGTAATGAGTTCGTACCAGGCCCTGTGATGTGGCTGGACCTTTGGCAGGAGGGGGTGGACGAGGGGCCCGCTTAGGCGATGGTTTGGGTGCTAGCCTCGGGGCGGGAAGGGGTGCGCTGGGCTTGGGCGGTGATGGTAAGGCAGGTGGAGTCAGAAGAGCCGGAGGGGGAGGTAGAACAGCTGCCGGTGGAGGAAAAGCGGGCGCAGGAGCAGATATTTGAGCCCCCACTCGCTTAGTCGACAGGACCCCAAGCAACAGCAAGACAACCAGCACGCTGGGTCGAATCGCCATCATCATGTTTGCTGCTTCTGCACATGATAAGAATCAAAGTCACCAGTTCAGATAAATTTACCCTCGAATCGACTCAATTTTCTGGGATCATGATTGCGATGGTCAGCTCTTGAAATTCCTTACAAAAGCACATGCGAGAGGAAGATGTAGTCCAAGCCCTGCAATAATCGGGCAGATGAAAGTCTAAATTCGACTCATGTACCCACGTCCAAAATGAAGATTCAAAAGGAAATGTCAGCGTGTGGTACGTGAACCTCGAGCTCCAAGCTTGCCTATGGAGAGTGATTGAATCTAGTCAATAGAAGTGATAGCATGTTCCGCCAAGTTCAAAGAGCAATCAGCATTGCTTCAAGCATACCGTCGTAGCATTGATACTGAGAATTGTCAACCAATGATGATGATGATGATGATGAGTAAAGATAGTGTGCAAACAAGGAGAGCAAAGTTGACCAATTTCGGAATCTGTGTTGGTATCGAATTTAGTGGGGCGCACACCTTGCTCCCGTGTGTCAGGTGTGTCGCCGATTGTGCACTGTCAAAGAACCAAGGCTGAATTCGGGGCTGATCAGCAAGTCTTCCTCCAAAGACTTGCTGATAGATCTGCGCTTAGCACGAATGAAAATTGTGTTGTAGATCGGGGGTTTTATGTTCCTCGTATTCTCACTCGCGAAAATAATTTACTCATGGGGAAACGCTCATTCAAGCGTATCTGCAGATCGCCATACAAATTACACGCCCATCACGTCCGGAATACACAGACACATCTTGGATCGTGTGGCAGATCATGATATTCTGAGTTAGAACTACATCGAGCCTTTCGAGCCCGTCCAGACGTTGCTACTGTTGCTCACCACATTACGTGCTATAATCAGAAGGTATATACAAGAACCGACATTCCCTTCGGATTCCGACTCTATGAGTCTGTAGAGAATAACATGCACATTGCTGAACCCGGGCATTTATTCGTTCAAGTTTTTCAGCCGAGAATCTTGAATCTTTTCAGCATGATCTAAGGTTCGACGATCTTGATATACTTTACATCTGTGATATGCGTACTGTAGAACTATTTGACAGCCTCATAAACTTCGAGATCGGACAAAGGTAAATCTAACATTTACAAAGATGTGCGTGAAATATCTAATCTACCATCGCCGAGGTGGCAGACGTGGTTGTGGTGTCAGTATCAAGCAATATACATTGTGTGCTGCACACAACAGGTGTTCCTTTTTCTGCATTCCGCATGCTGATGCACTCCCTGTAGAGAATCAAGGAGATGTGAGGCCAGTCGAAAGTTTCTCTTTGGAATGTGGACAGTTGGCATAAATGAGTACGGAGTTGATCTTTCTTTCCTTCTCTGTTTCGCTTCCCCTGAAACTGGCTCAACGACCTGATCAATCAGGACAAGCTCAATTCATATGATTACTCGCCCCAAACAATTCATATTTTCCTTTTCCAATCTTCTTCTACCTGCAAACCAACATACAGTTTGAGTGATTTAGATGAAAGTAGCTTTCTAATCTTTCAAGCTTCTTAATCTCCAGATGCACATCATGGATTCGGTAGGACATCTGACCGTTGAGAGGCTGCATGCAGTTAATATATCAAGGGCTGTAAAAACAAATTAGTGGGTTAAGCACTCGGGTTACCTTCCACTGTCCGAAGGCTGGAGCTATTATCGTGGTGACAGAGTTTAATGATCATCGCCCTTCCGGCTTAACGACATGGGACTAGTTAGAGTAGACGAGAATAATCGACTTTATAGAAGTATGTGCACAAATGGCTCTAAGTAGAAGTAGATGTATCCTTGGTTGCAGGTTAGATCAGTTCACCTTCAATTCCAAATTGGGGTTTTGGTTTCGCATCCGAGGGTAACCGTTCCAAGTGCGGTGGTACTTAGTACTTGGAATTCATTCAAAGCTCAGTGGATGCCAACGAAGTGTAAGAAGGGTTTGAGTCTGAAGGCAATAGAGCCAAACCTCTAATCTTCCACCTCTATAGTATTGAATTTTAGATGAAAAGAAGAATGGGTTGCAGAATATCGGGGCCACATGCATTATAGCTGTCGGAGATCTCTCTTCTGGCAGACTCGTTGCCAAGTGAATACGCCGTTTTCTGTGTACACTATGTTCATTTAGAAGTATAAACAACCTCTAGCTTCACTGTCACTATCCATGATACGATGCGCACACAAGTCAAACATTTGTACCGTTGTGTGTCACACATATAGAATCCCTTCGTTGACATTCTGTATATCTCGATATGGTAGAGGCTTCTGGGCATCCTAGTACTTCTTTTTTTTCAAACTGTTTAAGACTAAGTCATAAGTTTGACGGGTCTATGTGCTTCCTATGACCAGAATATTCAAGACCTGTATCGTAATTCTATTTCTGCATATAAATGTGGTATAATGTCTAAACGATGATATTTGTATATTATCTTTTGAATACAACATCTTGTATTTTAGGCTATGATCACCACACTCGACGTATGGTTTCTTTAAATTTTTCTCGACTTCACACATATGAAAAAACTTGTTGTAGAAAAGAAGCGTGCTTTTATGTTTAAATTGTTTCTACTTCACATTTATGAAAAATTATGTCTTAGAAACTATAGTCCATTATGATCATAAGATGTTGATTTATGTAGGCTATTTTATATGGTCATAATCTGGAAGTAACGTATGTAATACTTTTATACTCTTTTCAATGTGTGTGCTTATGTATGTATGTTGTTATGAATATATGATTTTGAACTGATTATCAATGAGCATTTCCTTACCATTATTTGGAAAACTTTATAAATGTACGACTCAATTGCAATTATATACTCTGGTATCATGAAAGAAATATATCAAATATCTTTGAGATTGAAACCATTTTGTTGATGGAAAAGTTTTTAATTGTTCATCCGATCATATTTTTATTATGTGATTGATTTTTTTCTAAATAAGATCGATTTACACAAAAAAATATTATGGATTATCATGAACAAATCCAATGCACATCATTCATTCGATATTTGAGTTTCATAACAAGTCATAAGCAATAGAATTGATATCATTTGTTTTTTTTTTACAGATATCAAATCCATATATGTGATTTGAAGTTTGAAACAATAAAACTTTGAAGTAATGAACATGTTACCTAGTCAAAGATAACCAACACCAATCATTTATACATTAAGTACTGGTATCATTTTACATGATGAACTATTATAGTTATTATGTATCCAATTTTGTTAGAAAACGATTAGAGCTACACTTTATTATTTCATCAGATTTAGTAAATGCCCCCAAACAAGACATTACGTATCGATTTACGCCATCATCGTTGGTTGACTATTGCATCAACCAACGATGATGACGTAGTGTCTTTTTTGACAGCACGACTACTTTGAAGAATAAGAGGCATGCCGTATATGACGGCTGAAGGCAAAGAACCGCCGGTACCGGACATGCATGGAATACTAGTGACAAGTTGAGCACACGATCAAGATGTATGAAGTGTCTGGGCATGAGCATCCTATACCACAGAAGTATGTCAAGGAGCAGAAAGAACTGGATCTCCTGACTCGAACACCAAGTGAAAGTATCAGCTTCCTTGCAAATCGAATCGAAGAATAAGACACAGACATGGTGAGAAGAGAAGTCAACGGATGGCGAACACAACCTAGAGACTGACTGCATCTGGGCTTCTTCACATGATCTGATCACTTTCTGGTAAATAGCCGGATTATGATGTCGACTATGTAGACCTTAATGGAGACCGTTAGTCCTCAATGCAGGGACTGACAAGACGTAGAGGGGAAGAAGGAATCTACAAGGAGAAGAAAACCTAGAACCGAAAGCAAGAGTAGTTTTTCTTTTTAGATGAAATGCTTGACGATCGCATCGAAATTAAGATACAATTCGACGGTCACTTTGAATCAGAATCTTGTGCAACCTGCCGTAGTGAAACAAAATCTTGAGCACTACGCGACCCTGAAATCCTATGCATAGTGCACAATGATCTTATTCATTCATATTACCGTGGTTTAACTTTATTAGCATGGTCTAATTCATGAACGTGTTTGTGGTATATTTTACTCTTAGATTCATTAAGGATCAACTAATTCATTCACGTTCTTCGGTATGTGAGGAACATTGGTAAGTTCAACAGAAACAGGGGCTGATGAAGGAGTGAAGGAGGACTCGACGGTTCGAATGAGGTAGACCATGGCGAACTCGTATCTAGGTGTCGGTCGATTTTTCTGACGCTGCGTTGTTCTTCGAGTTCAGGAAGAACTGTGCATCCTTAGCGACCTTTTGGAGAACACGAGTTCACTCATATTCTCGTTGTCCTCTTCACCAGCAGTCATTTCTGAGTCTCTGGCTGGCGGATCAACTTCACCGCGTTGTGAGGGGAGATTCCTCCAAGAGTAGGGTCGCTTTGATGCTGTGATTATAGACTGAGCAAGCCGTGAAAGCAATTCCTTGTCTGCCAGAATGGGAAATATTGGATCTCGTGTGCAGAAATATAGTGTTCTTGACGATTTTGAATGTCGGTCGGTACTTGATGGTAGGAGCGGAGGATTCTTGTGGACAATGAGACATGAACATCAAGGTTGGAATTGAATTCAGGGGCTTTACAAATAGAGTGGGCTTTGGCGACTGAAGTGACACTAGCGTATTTCATCGGGAATTTGGTCGGGGATTTATCTCGTTTGGAGGAGTAGGGCTCGGCAATACGTTTTAGACTCGCTGCGTCAGGCCTCATACGCACATTGTGGATAAGATGTCGACTCCTCAATTGATCGTCACCTCTGGGGAGGAAAAGAAGGATACTGATCCCATGAATCCTGGGCAGTTGGACAAAGCTCTGCCAGCCACACGTTTACTCGAGAAGCGGCGGATGGTTGCTCAGGTTCAAGAAGCTCTAGAGAATCAGAAGATTGAGTTTGCGCAGTAAGTAGTTTGCCCCTGTAAACAACCGTCCGCAACCTTACAAACTGGCGTTTGATTCAGAGTATGGCAAAGAAGCAAAAAGATCTGGATTTCCCGCTTTTGTACAACCGACTATTATCGAGAATGGTTCCTTCTTTGCGAACGAATTCTAACATCGTTGAGTTTCTGTGAAACTCGAAATCCGCAGGAAGGAAGAAATTCTGAAGAAGCGTGAGGAGACATTGAGAACTAAGGACCTTCAGTTGCAGGAGTCCTTGATTGGGTTTTCGAAATTCTTGCAGGTACAAGGCCCTTCATTGATGCTAGCTTAACCTTTTTTCAGACTCCAGATCCTTTTTCCATCTTGAAGCCTTTGTTTGCACTGCATTATTTACATGAACTTATAGAGCCGAGATTCGCAGAGGCTTCAGTTTGAAATCTTTTCCGGCTTCTAGTCATAGTTTCTGAACAACCTAAGATCTCGATGATCTGAGCAAGCTCTTAAATCGGTTATAGGTTTTCTGTTCCAGGAGAATGGTGTTAAGAAAAAACGTGCCGAGAAGAAAGCCAGCGACGAAATTCGACTACGGCTAGAAAAGGTCAATTGCATATAGCTGTAGGATCTCATTCTGCTAGTGGTTGTTTGCACATAGTCTGCAATTGTGATCAACCCTAGAGCTTTTCTCATGCTGGCATAATTCAATGTTTCCAATTTCTGAGTTGAAGATTTGTAGACGAGTTTCAGAAGCCCGCAGAAGTGTCAAACTGTGTATAAAAAGAAATTGCATTAGGTAGAGAATTACAGGGTCAGTTTTTCAGATTTTCCAGAGCAGGCAATAAGTAACTTGTGTGGAATGCACATTGAGGGTTTTGAGAAAAATTAAGCTCTACGTGCCCTCTACGAGTGAGATCTCGCCAACATGGATTAATTTATTAGAATAAATAAGTTAATAACCAAATGAAAAGAGCAGGACCTCCATTTAACGTCTTGTTTGAATTTCATTTCTTGCTCCACTATGTCAAGGGCATGATAAATAGATAAGAAATGGTAGATTGTGGTTTTGTCTTGGATTAATCTTAAGCGTTTAGGGTATCGTAGTGTAATGAATGTAGGAGGCAGAAATATCGCAACTGGAATCCCAGCTTGTACAACTCAAGCATGAGAAGAACGCTACTCATGCTGATTTAGAGCGTATGATGTTCTATCATAAATACCTGGAGACCGTGATCGAGACCTCAGAAGGATTCAATGAGATCAATGATCTTCTCATGAGGTCAATCTCATTCTCAGACCTCAATTGTTACAGATTACTAGTAGTTCAATTTGCTCCTGTTTGTGATAGACTTGCACGCTTTGGATTGTCCCAAGAAGTTTTGTATTGTTCACTAACCTTTTTTAATTAATGTTGAACGGTGCATGACCTGTATTGCACTGGATCTCATTACTAGTCCTCATAGATTGAAGGCTTAAGTTGCATCGGGAGGTTTTGCTGATTCTATCGAAATCAGAATTGTTATTAGACTAGTATGAACTCTGGTTTGCACCATGTTTTTTCAGGATCATGGTCAAATTTCCTAGTTCATCTTTCAATACATGCCAGCATTTACGATACTGGACCGTTGGTTTCAGAACCGCTGTTAGATGATAGGACTGTTAACCAAGTCTTTCTGTATATAGCAATTCATCTTTCTTCACAACGATGAAATATTTGAAGCGCTTTTGTAGCATCATACCATATCAGTGCTTTTGTACTCTACAGAGAATATAGTAGGGTACAAAACCCACTATTGACATTTTCCCATCCCTTCATATTGATCTTTTATTGTGTCCTTTCAGGGAACAACAGTTCCTCTTTCTTTAAAACTTTAACTGTACTTTGTTGTTTCATATGTTAGAGAATGTATCATTGTAAAAGATTCCAATTTTCTTGTGTTTGTATGCAATAAACTAGCTTTGAATAGTGTATATAGGGGTTGTGTATCGACTATGAGGAAGCTGTCACCGGGAAAAGAAGTTCTGGTGGTCAAAGACTTGGTCATTCTTGGTGCTGAGGTCTTCGGCTCGTTTCTTTGGACAATAGTCTCCCATGTCGTCGTTTAATGTCAGCAGTGTCATGTCTTTCATGTCGACATATATAGGGAATATGTGCTGATACGCTACTCTTGTTTCTTACTGAAGGCTATACCAGGCACGCGACCCTCCAGGCTACGAATGAGGATTTAAAACGGCATGTGGAGTCTTGTTCGGACAGCGCTGAAGTTGTGAGAACAGAGCTACAGGCCTATGTCAAGAGCAGTTCAAATGAAATACTCAACCTTGACAACAGCATCAGCGTGTCAAAACAGACTCTTGAAAAGAAGAAGGGTGAAACAGCTGCGACTCAACTACACATGGACAGCATTCTCCATGCAGCAGCGACGAAAACACTTGCGCGAAGTCAGGTATGCTTGTATTGCCTAAGATAGCTTCACTGACAGTTACAGAGACTACAGAGGCTGCGTAAGATGTTGAAACATAAGGTGTCATGAGATCCTTGTTGTCACTGACTACCAAACCTTGCATCTATACCATTACTCACATGAGAGCACAACGCTAATAAATTGAATTTGACTATGCTTATATTGAACCGATTCCAATACAAGGTTAAAAAAAACCTGGTAAAAATGAGAGAACGGAAGGCTGAGATCACTTCAAACACATTGAGAATAGCTCTCCTAGGCGTGCTTTCGAATTCATGTAGAAGTTATCGCTGATGAGCCAAGTTGTTTGTCCTCTGTAGGTTTGCATGGCTGCGGAGTACCTCTTCCAGCGCATATGTAAATTGTCGAATATCAGTCATTTTCCGTACAATAATCCTTTGAAGCAGCTGGACTGTGTGGGAGATTACATTTCGGACCTGAATCACATCATCAAAGCCTATAAAATAAAGTGCATAAAGAAAGAACATGAAGCACAACGACAAAGAGAGAAAGAGGCGCAACAACAAATGTAGTCGGATTGTAGGTCCTAACTTCTAGCAAGGATCTTGAGTGAAGGGACATTCTTCTATAACCTAATCATGAATCTTCTTCTATAAGTTTACTTCTGGAGCGAAAGCTGCAAGGCAATTGTCGAAAGTCGATTTGTAACCTGGATCCAATTGCCTAGATTCAAGCATCAGCCTTCACATATTCAATGAATAATTTGAACGCTGCTGATCACAGATGCAATCTGCTCGGCCGACTGAGAACCGTATGAGAAAAGACCAAATAAATTATGCTTTAACGCCAGGAAACAGCGCAGGGTGAGTTTTTAGATTTTAATGAAAGATAAATCACCGTTGCCTGAGTATATAATTTTTACACAATCAGGAAGGGAAATATACAAAGAGAAAACCCACTACACATGTGAGAACCACACCTCGAATGGCCAAGGTCAAACACATCTGCTGCACAAGACTTGGTCTTGAAGCACTCATGAAGTGGATTCTGTACTCCTAAAGTTGAAGGCTGTAGGAGGTGAGCAGGGCGACAGCTGAGTGTGGGGCAGTCAACAACTCACTCTTTCCCTCTGCGCGTGTGAGTGTTCTCACGAACAAAATAGGGTCTATATATGCGAGATATGTCGAACTAAGCTCCGGGATTCTTTTGACTTAGCCCAGAAAGCAGTAGCTTCAGTTTCTCACTTACTGCAAGTATCAGTAAGTATCAATGCGATGGACGAATGCACAGTCCCTGAATTTGGGGCACCGTTCACTGGAAGAGTCTTGTGGGAAACATCAGAACAACGTACCAGTAGACTTGCGCTGAGGTAACCGTGATATCCTCGCAAACATGCCATCATTCCCACGGGTCCAGACTCCCAATGACAGAGCTCGTCCTTACATACAGTACCGAACAGCAGCATTTCATGCAATCACTAGGTGACAGTTTCTTCACATGGAGACATCTTCTCGTCTTTTTCGATGTCCGTGCGATCTTTTAGTTTGACGAGTGTAGGCCTCGAGGTGGACATACAATGATTGTAAAACCTAGTGTGTGGAGTTCAATCACTTCAGTTGTTGAAGTTGAGTTGGGAAAATGTTGTTTCTGTTTCAAGTGCATTCTTCGGAGCACACAGTGGGTGTAAGTGGCTTAAAAGTACTGCAATAACGCAAAACATTTGGAACTCAAAGTGGATATTAAGCTTTCTTTAATTAATGAAATGTCATTGTGAATTTCAATTGGAAACCATATCATTAAATATATATTTTAAAGTTTCAAGTTTTGATATGAGATCGATGTATATTGTTGTGATATTATACATGTCCAAATTGTGATGTTCATGATTCAACCTGCTCTCTGTTCAGTCAACTGTGCTGGATGTGACATTCACCTCCAGCCAACCAGGTTCAAGACAATTTATGCAATAGCACAATATCGGTAAAGATTATTCTTTACAAGTGAAGGGGTAGGAGGGAGTCTTTACATGAGTTGATAGATGAAATTAGCTCCATAGAACTAATACTTTACCCAGGTGGTCACTCAAACCCAAGCTTATATTGGTTTGCTCTCTCATAACCGGGAAAACAAAACCTGAATTTCAGTTACCAAACCAAGAGGTTGCCTTCATAAGAAGAAGACAAAGAAGAATCAACGAAAGCCATTTTACGCACATTGAGGCCAAGAACATCGAGAACACATTTAAGATCAAACACACGGGCAGAAAAGGATGAAGAGCCTAAATTACAGAGTAAAACATTGCATCTTTAAAAAAATGAAAATATGAAATTTGAGCTGAAACTCGTAGAAATTGCAGAATTCTTGAGTAGAAAATACAGGGCAAGTAAAGATAACTTGTTATCAATAAGTCGAGAGCTATGGGATTAAATATGCTCCAGATCATATTGGAGAGTGTAGATATAATTTTTCTTGTTCTAGTAGATCCTTTACCACTTTATGCATGAACTTATATATTTACGGTGGCGAAAAGTTTTGCGCCTTTGTACATGCCATTGGATGGCAATTAAAACTCTAAATGATAATTGGGTTTTTAATTGGGCGAGTTATTAATTTCTGGACTTTCTAATTTCAAATGCATCAAAACCGAATATACCACGTCTACAAGAACGAGTATTTCAATACAATAAAATTTTTAAATATGAAATTGTTTATGTGCCGGCACAAAATGTCTCACAAACCATCAGGTAGTAAACAAAAAGGTAGAAAAGAGCATTCAGAGAGCAAGCAAGAAATTTTAGGGTAGCTAGGTCCCACATAGATTGGAGGCTTCAATTCAAACGATGAGCCTCAAGAAGATGAAAATTCAAGCATTGTGTGAGGCAACATAACTCGAAAATAGATGCTCATTAAAATTGTACGGTGAAATGAAGTGACATGTGTTTGATGGGTTACATAAAGTCAACTGAAGAGAGAGTGATGAATGAATGGGTTGAAGATACGTTTCCGCGAATAAATTTGAGACTGACTGATCAATTTTTTATATGAGAGCGGACTAAGGAAGTTCAAGGTTACAGTTGCAAACTTGGAACACACTTGTCCACCTTATCCACATGAATGGAAGGGGTCGTCAAACATCTTTCAGGCTGGCATGATTTTTTATCTCGTCGACTTCTTCTAGACAATATGATAGCAATAGGCAAGCTAGGAGAAGAATTTTATTAAACATCCTGAAAGAATACTACTTATAGACTTCATGAAGTAACGGCGAGACGACAAGATAAAGGATACAAGGAAGGCTTTTTGTAGCTTCCATGGATTGCATAACTATTCGAATAAAATAATCAAAACATTAGTTTAGGTATTGAGTTGATGTTGGTTTGTGAAAACCAAAATCAACTTTTAAAAAATTGGTTGTCTATAGTTCCATGCAAAAGAGTTTAATATACTATCAAATGATTGTACGCTTCTAGAAGTGTGCCACACAAAAGATCGCAGGTACATGTGTCAGAATTTCACAGCTTCAAACGGAAACTACAAGATTATTGTTTTCTGTTCGACTCCTATCTAGTTGGAGGTTTGAAGTACAACGTAGTAGGAGAAGATGTCAGGAAAGACAGGAAACATAAACCACCAATTTTGCAATATGAGTAATTCGTTATAGCGTCAAATAGTGAAAGCTTTGTTGAAGGCCCTAATACTCATGTTTTCAGGTATGATACATGGAAACCTTGAGATGACTACTGAAAGTGGGTGTGTGAAGATTCCAATGCAATTTAAGGCACAGAAGAGAGAGTAGAAGCAATTATTCTTCAAGTGGATTGAATCATATAACATTACAATATGAAAACGAATGTGATAGAAAATCAAGAAGCGTTTCATATACTTAAATAAAAATACCAGTATTTGGTTATTTCAAGAATATTACATAAGAACCTAAAAAAAATATCAAAGAAGATGAGCATTGTTTTTAAATTGTTAAGTTATTTTTTGATTTTTTGATTGACTTAGATTTTTCATTTTCAGACAGAATAGGAAAATTTAGTTGTTTCACAAGAAATTTTTGATCATGTTATTTGCATGATCAAAATGTATTAATATCGTAATTTTCATTTCTTGCATTGAAGTAAAATATTTCAAAAATTAAAAATAGAATTAGTCATCCCTTCAAGCGAAAAGGAGGAACGAAAATCAAGGCTTGAGTTTAATACTCTAAAAAGTACATCTTTCAGCATGTGTTGTATTTCCGTGATGTGATTGTGAACTCTAGACTTGGATTGCTTTCTCTTCTTTAGAACGAGAGAAGCTAGAGTAGATAATGACAATGACCGTCTAAAGAACTTCCGTCCTACAAGAGTGAACTCCCTTTGTTTATTATAACACTTCAAGCCCTGATTTCTTTTAAAAATCAGACCCTCTCACTTTACTTCAAGAAAATCGAAACTCCCTCCTTTTTTCTTACAATCTGAATTCTCCCTCTTTTCTTCTTCGCAGTATAGCTCACATTTATCATCAATCGGGAAGAGTGGGAAAGAAGTGCATGAATGCATTCAAAAGATTCCAAGAGGCTGTGTTGAGTTTCCTTTCCTCAACGTGAAACCCCGCATCAGTCTATGGATTGCAGTGGGGCAATCCACAACAAGACATGTAATGGTCAAAATGATGCTATACATCATGACATCGTTTGCAAGACGATAAAGATATGGACGTCTAAGTGCGTGCATACGAGGTGGGAGACATTATACACTACATTCTAGTGCTCGTAAGTAGTCTTTAAACATTCAGTCGAAAAAAAGTAGTATATAGTGTATACGTCTCTTGAAGTGCATTGCAACTTGTAATTTATGTAAACGTCAAATGATTAGGCACCCACTACAAAGCTCACTTCTCATATGTAACCTGCCATCGACCTCAAAGGACAGTCGTGATCTCAGCAACTAAGTAAGCCTAAAGTGAAAAGGCAAATCTGAAAGTAGTAGCAGTCAGAACTCGGCATGACGGCGTAAGACACCAGGCAGACAAAGGTGTGGGGGACCGTCATACCTTCCACATATTTTGCCACAACGAAGTGGGGGACATGTACAGTACAGTAAGCTGAACGAAGCAAGCACACTTGGACAATCAGGTAGATGGTGGGCCTTGAGAATGACAAGCTTGTCACCATTACACAGGTCGGTATGTAACTCTGTGTCTTGGAGGCTGGGACACGTAGTTGCAGAGTTTCCAGGGGGCCCTAAACCTTGGTAACACTACAAACTACATCCAGCAGGACGTGGCCAGGTAGGCTTCTTGAACTTATGTGCAGTAGCGTCATGATTGCAGTCTCTGACTGTGGTGGTACCATGTGACGGCGCTGACTGCTGCCGATGCTCTCAAATTGTTCTAAATTGCCTTTCCACTTTATGTCTATGCACAAACAAAGCAAGCCCGGATTGCCATAAAGGAAAAGCGGATTTAAACTTACGCCCAGTTGCAAGGAAATAAGCGGCCAACTTGGTTCTGCTTTGCAGGTGCATTTAACTACCCACAGAAGATGAGGTATCATACCCACATGGACCAAGGCAGAGCACGCACGGCTGATTGCTTGCACAACTTTCACTGGACCGCCAATTACGGTTCTAGAGAATTTTCTTCTCCAAATTGGGTAACACCAATGGGATGTGAGACCAAGTCAATAGCTAAAAGTGTGAAAATACTTCATCAAGCCTCACAATGATCAGACTTAATAATTACCGTTAACTTAATTTCAATGGTATGAGAAGTTTTAGTAAATATCACAACACCTAAGATTTCTAAACTATTGAATGGTATACACGTAACATGGATAATCATATAAAACTCATGATAATGTTTTAAAAAGTTTGAGCCAATTGGCAAACAAACAATCAGAGCATCTCAATTTCAACGTTTTATTTATTTATCTATTAATTTTAACAT